GAGTTTAATACCACATTGTTTAACCTCATGCTCAACTTTCGATCCATTTTCTGTTCCAGAAATTATTTCAGTGGTAGCTTGATCTCATATGGAGCTTACTGATTTTCTTTTCTTTTGATGAAATGATGAAATGAGCAGTGTCCCCTGGATACTGACATGCCCGCAGCAGGTGTAGTGACCGATAGTTCTGTCATCAGTAAATAAAAATGTAATTTGTTCTTGCACAGTTGCATAAAATAATGATGTGGCCTAATAAAATGGACAATTGTTTTTAAGTAATAACAGATTGGGTCATTTACTGAAAAACTAGATTTGGATAACAGCTGACTGATTGTGCAAGACACCAACATCATGTCTGGAGCACTTGTAAAATTTGATCGTGACCGAGAGAAGATTTAAAATAGGGGAGAATGGCAAATGCGACTTTTTCTCCTAAATCTGTCGTATGAATGATATAAGAATTGTTTGTATTAACCACTGTTGCATAAGACCCATTGATTTCAGTCTAGGGTTATTTTTTGTTTGTTTCCTTTTATGAAACTCCAAAATAACAATTTTATTTGACTCAATTATCATTTAGTAAATTTTTATTTATTTCCATTTTGAATTTTGTGTTTTTTGATTTATTAGTGTGAATTTATCATTTCCGTTAATTGGTGGTTATATAAATTATCAAGCGCAATTGTAAACTTGCCTTGGTGTTCGTTCACTTAGTCGGTACAGCTGTCTTCTAAAAATACAGCAATTTGTGCTTTCCATTCGTCGCAAGCTAAATGGAGGCACCAATGTCCTTATCCATCAGTACTTAGTTTATATTCTTGTCTATTGAGAAGCACCTGTGTTAATCTACCAATTATGTTCTATATCTAAATTCTAATTAAAAAGAATGCCAGAAAATAACTAAAAGAAAAGTTTCAGTAGGAGAGTAAATTAACCAAACATTAAAGCCAAGGCCTTTTCTCTTTTCTTACAGAGGGAAACACTGGCCATGGAGAAGAAGCATTACGCTTGCAGTGCAGCAAATGACTAAGGCCCTTCCTCAGGGTTTAAATGACAGGGAGGGTGGCACCGTAAACACAGGCTTGCTTGGCTTTGTCGAGCTAATGACTTCCTGCTCCAGTGGCTTGTGAAACAGTGTTACAGCCAAAATAAGTAAAATCAGGAGCAGAATTTAATCTGTCACTCAGTGGAAAGCCTTTAAGCAGCAACAAGCAGCCATCCAGAGGGTGAACGCAAGGGAGGTGAAATCACAGCAAAAGCTCCCGAGCAGAGGGAAGCACCAGAACACATTGTGTATAGAATGAGGATTACAGATTGGTTGGATAAATAGGGTATCCTTTGAAGGAAAGCACACTTTTTTTGTGTGTATGTGAGAATGTCAACCTGGGCGGTAATCTAAAACCATCAATCCCTTTGGATCTAGGTAAGCTTTACCTATGTAGAAAAAGAGATTGATGTGGAGGGGAAGACTATGCTTGCACTGAGTTTTTGATCTTCCTGAATTTGCCCTAAGCTCAGGCTTGAACTGCGTAGCTCTGCAGCAGTCATATTAACAACCCAAATCTCACAAGGTAGGATATGCTGCATTCAGTGTCTCTTTTCATCTGCTTGGAATTAATCATTTCTATGAACTGCTTGTTTTCACCAGGATCTCCCGGGAAAACTGGAGGGGTATGATGAGGCCCTTCTCTAGAGGTGGATGAGCTAAAATTAATCAAACCCATCAGAAAGATGTTCTGCCAAAACTATTCAGCCCCCTTTTTGACCTGCTTTTCAGCAGCAGTTTTCTGAAAATGGGGAAAAAGAAACAAAAACAAAAAATGTTGTACTTAACTGCACTAAAAAACCCACAAAGGCAATATAGATTCCATAAACAAACATTTATTTGCTGAAAAGAATTAAAAACCACTCATACAAGTAGTACGGCAATTTAAAAACTGACACCAAAGGAAAAATAAATTGATAGTGTGCACACTTTTCAAAAGCATTTATATAATGCCTGTAAACTCCAGCTCAAAGTAAAAGCAAGTTATGTTACCTTAATTTAATGAGTATTCTAAATCTTTTGACATCAAAGTTTACTGTTTTCCTTATTAATATTCATGTTAGATGGAAAGAAAAACTGAAAAGAATAAGACAAAAATGCTAATAAGTCTTCTCTGATATGCAAATAGCATGAGCCAGACATACGCACACAAACACTGTATCCATGTGCCGCACCTATCTAATCAATTAAGATCAGCTAAAGTGTTGACAGCACCATCCTTATAATTGATCTGCTTTTACCACTTGGGGGTTAAAATTACACTGTTAAATAAGCAACCATTTTTTTTTTTTTTTAATGTCAAAGGAGCAAGGCTAATGAGTATAAATGACATGAATCGGGCAAAGTATGTAATGTGTTTTGGATAAGTTTTAACAAAATCTCTCATAAAGAAGACTGAGGTTAAATTGTAGAAATCTTTTGGCAACTTTATAGCAAGTAACCACCTTATTAACGGTGCACAGTAGCTTTGCCCAGGGAGGAAACATGGGAGTCAGTGGTTGGTTGTTGGGTGCGGTCTGGCTCTGGGAAACCAGATCCTTTCTTTCCACTGGTTTGCACAGCTAGTTGCCAGAAGATATGATTTGTTTTTAGCACATTTTATAGATAACCAAATCAAACTGAAAGGTGGGAGACTTGCAAGCGGTGCATCATCTTTGTTATTTGTACTAGCCATGGGTGGTTACCAGCATCAGGGTGTACCAGTTTTAAAAAATTACAACAAAGAAACAAAGGAATCTTATCACACCCCGAGTGGTAAGTCTAGAAAAGTAGAGAAGTTATATATTGAGTAGCTTCAGCAAACAATCAGTACATAGGTTTAGGTATAATGACCTTGCAACACGCCTTGAGTGATTTTGTTGTCTTTAATGCTGCATGAATAAATGTAGAAAGAAGAAACTGTTTTTTCCTGGATTGGGTGTAAAATCATTGGTTTCCAGCATCAAGATACTCTAATCTTCAAGTTTTCCTTCATATTTTAAGCACTAATTTTTCTTCAACCCATCCTAACCCTCTGAAGTCCAGAGAAAGGTTTAGGATGACTGGAGTGATGCAGAGTGTAACAAAGCTGCCCCTCCCCTACTTGTTTCTGCCCACTACTAGTGAACGGGCTCACTTGTTTTTAAGAAATACCACTTTGGCTGCTTGGCTGTCCTAAGAAGGAATGAGGGATATAAAGAAAGGATATAATTTCAAACAGCCAATGTTGTTTAGCTCGGAAGCCGAAACAACAACAAATAGCCCTACTAATAGACCAGTTTTTTATTAACTTGTCAAACTTGTCTTATATGATAAACAGAAAAAAACACATTTATAGTGTTGTAGTAATATTAGTGTATCTTTGCTTAAGTCTGTGTCTCAATTTCAAATAAAAAATGATACAATTATCTTTATTTTACCTGTATACATCATTTTAGCTGCGGTATAAATAATTGCTACCTTTCTATTAGATGTTTGCTTTTAATCTTAGTGGAATCACAGCAAAACTGAGGTATTTTACTCCAGAGAATCTCATCCAGTACCAACCCATGCCTAGTTTATTTCCAGGGTAGTTTCTGTGAAAAAGGATGGCTGCATTATTCTGCAAGGAGAGGTCACCGATTGCAGGAAACATCACTCTTAAGTGGAATCTATCACTGGTGCACCCACATGAAAGGAAAGATTAACTGGAACACCGAGGAGTAAATGCCATTGTAGTGATTTGCTATGCTTAACTCCACCTGCCAGCGGTTTGTATGCAGTGGGTGAACTCTGCATTGTGAAAATAGAACCTGGATGTTTAATCTAAATACTTTTATCGATCTCACTGAACCACTTATTTAAAACACAATCTACAAATAGAGATTTTTGGCACACTGAAGGAATAATGCCCTAAAAAAGTAATGTATAAGTATTTTACCGCTGGAACCAATGACATTTAAACATTACTTAACCTAAATTTGAGGCATTAAAGCAGATATTTCGGAGACACAGATTAAACCTGCAACCTAGAGCTCTTAAAAATACTGTATTATTTTGTGTATACCATCACTACACAACTGATGCAAAGCTAATATATGACCGAAAAACTGATTCCTGCTGAACTTCAAGAGGTATCCCATTCGAGAGTAAAATGTTGAGTATTTTAGTGTAACCCCACTTGGTGCAAAGGGAAAAACATAAATATAACAAAATTTATCATAACAGTCACTCTTTCACAAGCTTTTAAAAAAAAAGTCTTCATTTAAATATAGATCAAAGTATTGAATTCCAGATGCAATATTAAACGTATAAAGATAAAATAAATACTTTTTGGAAGAAAAGATCTCATTTAACCATCTAACAGCTTTGTACCAACAGAAGTTTATTTTCACAAATTATTTTACTTTCATATCATCTCACAGCATCAATTTGTTCATACCAAGATATCTTAATTTGGAACATGAGCCCTGTGTAAACGTACAGCAAGATAACTAATTGAAAACAGGCTAATTTCTCCCACTGTGCCAGTCCACATGAATGGAAAGGAGATAAGAATAATCTTAATAGTTGGTCAGACCTTCTTGAAGGAGTCCAGTTGGAGCAGCTTATCTAAATCCTCTTGGCAGAGCAATGTGAACAGTCAGAGCAGAGTGCAGAGAGCTTAAATTTGCCTGAAAAGAAGCTCTCATGAATTAAAGCAGCAGCAGAAAGTTCTTTAGATAGTGTTCCACTTATATTTTGCTATGATTAACTAACTCGGTATGTTGCCCTAAGTGAAGAGGCACAATTCAGCTGTGGAAAGGAAAATTCCCTTATGCTAATAAAAGGTACCTTGATAAGCCTGATGAAAAAGTCCAGAGTGTAGCATTAACAAATTGTCTTTGTGTGCCTCTCTCCTCTGTCCTTGCTTGCTGGGCAGTGGTAATACAGTGAGGAGTGACAAAGTGTGTCCCTTCTGTGTGATTGGTGTCGCTGAAAGAACAAGGTTGCCTGACTGAGGGGTTACGACAAGCTCTCAATCAATAAGCCTTCGCTGTTGCTTTGCCTCCGGGACTGCCTGCTGGAGTCTCTGTCAGCCTCATCCTCTTCATCAGATCTGCCAAGACTCATGTGTCTCCGGTACACAGGGGGGCTATAGGGGTCAACACAAATACAGACACACCATTATATAATGACTTGCCAATTTATTGGAAAGACAAAAGATAGACGAGTTTTAAAAGATGTAAGGGCAAACAACAAACAGCATTTAAGCTGCAAAGTCACTCTCTTAGCTAACTTATTCCATTGTGCACTTGATAGGCAAATACCAAACCAGTCTGCATTTGCAAAACATTCATGCATGGTGTTAATTAGAAGACTTACTTATTACCTTGTGAATACAAACAATGTTAGCTTGTATAAGTCTTTTGCATATCCTGCTCTGCAGTGCATTAAAAATATATTAATATTCAGTGAGTAATGTTCCAAAGTATGTCATGTACGTAACAGAATTTGGCACAACTACAGACAGGCAAAGGCAGAACCCCACACCCAATTTTTCAGGCCTGCCAAAGAAAGCAAACGGAGAATAAAAAACTTCCAGAGGACCAGTGCTAGTTCAGGAGGAGTTCTAAAGTGTCACAGTTCCATTCAAAGAATGGCACAAAAATGTTAAGGATACAGAAAGCATGTGGACAAAGATGCTCCGATCTGATGAGACCATCTAAACTTGCTATAGGAAATCTAAATAGCAGGAGAAAACTGCTCTACACATTTAAGCTACAATAGTGGGTAGTCTCCAGCATAATACTCTCTATTTAGTGTATATTTGTTGTTGTTGGATTTTAAGGGGATAAGGGTAAAGGCAGGTTCCCCGAAAGTATTTTGATTGATAGTCAAAATGTGTTTACAACTTATATATAAATCTCTCCGCAAAAGGGATATCTTGCCCTAGTAGCAGTCAAAGGTGTGAATACATTTTGTTCAACTAGAGGGGATGCTTATGACAATATCCCTTTATTAACTCATAAGGTATCCACCAAGATCTATAGCCATGTCAAAGGGACATTTCTCTGACATCCCGTAGCAGCTAGCAATGTTGTAACACAAGAGTGGGGCTAGTTTATACATTTTCAGCACTTTTCAGCATTTTGATGCTGCTTGTGTTTTCGTTTTAGTTATTGTTAAAACTCTACACTTTAGAAATCCATTAGAAAAGCCTTTGTACACTATGATATATTTTAAAACCACTGTTTTTGTAGATCCAAGGATAAACAACCATAACTAACCAAAATAAAATGGGCTGCTTTTGGAGCATGAAGCCAACACCTACAGTGAAAACCAAAACTGGTGTAATTGTGGCTGTCTCTTCGCCAGTTACCGTTGGTGCTGGAGGAAAAATAACAACCAGACACTTTTTTCAAACACAGTTTCACAGCAGCAGAAAAAACAACATTAGAGACAGTTTCTCGTATTTGCAGGAATGCCTTTCATCATTAAAAGACAGAAATAATGGCAGAGGGCTGAATATAGCCTTATTTAGTTTAAGTAAATAGTTTTTGTGTTTGTACAGTATTCCAATCTTGAGTGACTATATTTACACTATTAGAGCAAAAAGAATTTTCTTTTAACTGCAAATATACAAAAGCAAGACATTCACATGGCAAGGTAAAATGAAACCAAATTGTTGGGTTGCATATGGACATGGTGTGAAAGAGTGGGCAGTTTAGTACAGGTGTAGCATTTACATGTGAAATTGTAGAAGGTCACAGCAAGAATTTCAGCAATTACACTTGCATGAAATCCAAGTCTCCACATAGGATGGCAATGTGTTTGTTCAGATTGGCTCAATGTTATAACAGCTTTTATTTATGGTACCAGTTTATAGACTTCTGAAAGGGTATTTTATTACTTATCAATCTCTGGTAGACATACACAGACTTGTATGTACATATACGCTACTTCTTGCCTATTGTTTAAAAGAGTAGTTTAGGTATGTGGTATACACAATTTTAAAGAGGGGTTTGCCTAAAAGCTTCAAGGATGTTAATATTTGATCTACTGTAATTCTCTTGACACTTTTCATTACATATAAATCCAAATCAGTTGTTTTTTTTGGTGGCAAAAGCTAATGCAGTCAAAATCCTCATAGCAAGTGTAAACCTTTGCTTCTAACACAGTCTAGAGGACTGCAATGACAGAAATCGGGAGATATGGAGTCAAAGGTGAACACATGTTAGTAATTGCACTGTTTGTTTATGGACTTTCAGTACTGCTGCAATCTGGACTTGTCATGCATGGACTGTGAAGGCTGAATATGATAAAATATAAAAAAAAAGATATTAAAATGAGCCCTTTAAAGCTATAACAGCAAGGGTGACCTGTCTCTCAGAAAATAGGCACCAAGATTATCTTGTACAAGGAAATAGCAGAGTATCAAAGTGGTTATATGTAGTAGTAAAACATCCCCAGCAAAGTTAGTGAACAGAGTTAAAATCCAGAATTTTTTCATTCATGCCGGGCTCTGTGGTTGATAGCACACCATGCGTCACCTTATTGGCATCAGTCACTGTCAGGCCTGTAGAGGTACTTCATCACCAGGCTATCCACCTTCTTCTGTTTCTTCTTTGATTTTTTTTTGTCGCCTACTTGTCCATGAGAAGCACGCTCCTTCTCTTCATCATGTTGTTGTTTTGGTCCCCTTTTAACACTGTTAGAACTTCGATAGGAGACTGTTGAATCGGAAGAGGAGGACTCTGACGATGAAGAGGAATCTTCTGACTCACTTAGCTTTTTCTTAGACTTCTTCTTGGACTTCTTGTCCTTTCTCCCTTTTGTGCTCTTTCTGCTGTGACGACCGTCTGAGGAGGAGGAGGAGGAGGAGGATGAAGAGGAAGAGGAGTCCGAAGACGAGACCTTACTTTTTTTATCCTTACGACTGCGAGAAGAACTGGACCAGCTTGACGCGCCTTCATCTGCCACCTTCTTTCTCCTGTCCTCGCCCTTCTTCTCCTCCTCATCACCACTAGTCTCATCCAGTTTGCTACGTTTGAACTTAATGGGTTTGAAGCTCAGCACCTCATTAATTGCAGCCTCCAGGTCGGGGTCCAAATAGTTTCTGTGTGTAACCGGTTTAATGTCAGATGCTTCAAGTAGATTACTGTCTGAGGAGCGTGGCTGAGGCGGCGTAGAGTAGCTTCGACTAGTGGAACGGGGACTATAAGGTGAATGTTTACCATCTCCATAGGCCACACTGTGAGCATCATCGTCATTATCATTTACATGTAGACCAAACTCACTGAGGCCACAGCTGCGGGCAAGGGACAAACGAGAGCTGCTTCGTTTTTCATCTTTCCAAGAGCTGCTGCGACGTAGAGATCGGGGGCTTGTACGACTGACGCTGCTGATGGTTGATTTATTGTCATCATCCATGTCCAGCATCCCCCTCCTTGTGGACAGTCTGCTTGGAGCTACTGACGACACCATGGACTCATTATCAAACTCTGGGGTGCTGCGGGATGTCCAGCGGGACTCTAAGCCTTTCCTGGCTCTGCTAGTGGCTTCAGAATAGGCCATAGAGATCACAGAGCCCTTGTCATCCATATCATCCTCTGCCTGAGCTTTTCTTCTGTCTTCCTGAAGATCACTAGTCTTTGACTTTGCTTTACGCAAGGCAGCGTGATCCGGTATGTTTGGCTGTTCTTTGAGAGTACTAAATAATGAGTTCTCGTCTCCTGTGCCACCAATAGAGTCCTTTAAGTTGGAGCGTTTTCTGTAGCTAAGGGAACTCATGACAGACACTGATCTGGTCTGCTCCACTTCCTTTTTATCTTTGGTGCTGTCACTCATCTTCTCCTTACCTTCTTTCATCTCTGTGGCATCTGCATTTGCTGCATATCTAGAGGGTTATGTAACAAAATTGACACAACAGATAACCACAAGGAAAGATATACATTAAAATGATAAATCCTAATCTTTGGCTTTGTGAAACATTGTCTCCAGATCAGTGGCGGGGATGATTTTACATTTTTGGCAGCTTGACACTGTCATTTTCATTTTTTCCTTGGAACCTGCACCTATGACTATGGATGTTATGCACAGCGTACATTGCTAAAAGTGAGGCAATCAGCTAGTGAAAGAACCTATCTGACAGAGTCAGAAGCGTCATTTGGCAGGCTTTCCAACTGGCCACAGGCCACCTCAATAAATGTGACAGCAGCCGCTTCCCCACACCACCTACTGTCATTAGACAGATTACTAGAAAAGAGAGCTGACACCTAATCATATGAGATAGCCTTCCTTCTGTTACACAATGCCCCAGGTAATCGTGGGCCTTTTGAAGATAGGAAATGAAGGCGATTTAATCACTACACGATCATGAGATCCGATACAAAAGAATGTAGGGACTAACCTGGTGCTCTTCAGACTCCCTTCATCAGACAGAGTCTTGCTGGAGCCTTTGTTCTTTGAGAGCCACGTCTTAATGCCATCCACCCGATCCTCCACTTCTGAATCGGTTTCTGTCCCCTCTCCACTGGCAAGAAACAAGCCAGTAGGATTTTGTTAAAAACATTTGAAATATAATTGAATATCAAAGATTTTATTAACAGTCAAGAGCAGAACCTTGTCAATCAAGTATGGTGTTGTGTCTTGTAAATATGTATTAATATCCTACTACTTTTTTCAAATTTTCTTACAATTACAATCCTAATCTTTGTATTTCCTTAGGATTCTATGTGATATGCCAACATAAAGTAGTGCATTAAAGGGAAAGTGATGAAAATTATGAATGTCCTTAAACATTTCAACTATTAAAATGTAAAAAGGGTGATATGTGTATTCCCTATTCCTTAAGCAGTAGTCGGAGGAAAAAGTCTTTTAGGTTAGGTTTCTACCAGTTTTTTGTTTTGTTTTTTTATAAAGGGGATTTTTTTCCAAACTAATCATCACAAAGCAGCCAAAGCTCAGTCATATTTTGATGGAGTTTGTCTCCAAATCTGTTGATGTTTAAACCATTCTGATGTTGTACTGGGTAAATGTTTAGGATCATTTTGCTTCAACAAGAAGATTTTCTTCCAGTTTAGAGATCTGTCCATCTGTACATCAAATTTGACCAGCTTTGCTGGCGCTGCCAAAGAAAAGCATGAACAAAAAAACAATGATACCATTTCTTGTTTCCCCATTGTGATCGTGTTTTTAGGGTGATGTTCAGTTTTACTTCAGTGTCAAATAAAAGCATTCACAACATATAGATATTTTACTAAAGGGCATCAGGGTAAAAGAGTCTTAATGCACATCAAAACCAAATGTTTGTTATTTTTTTTGGAAAACAATCTGAATACTATGCAAACTAACTGTTCTATACCAATTATGTAATGTTTTTTATCATGACAAACAAATCAATAATGCTAAACAATGTGGTTTTAACAAAAAAAACTCAAGGAGGATAAATACTTTTTAAGGAAATGCAGTTTGTGATTTTTAAACATTTGAATGATTAGAAAATGTCTCTTAGGAATATTTACAGAGCAAAGATTAGTTGTTAGTAGTAGATTAGTAGTCATTGTTTTAAAATTCAGAATAAACAAACTTTTTATACAGCTCATGAATATTCTGTGAAGTGCTAAAGTCCAAAAATTACATCAGCAAAATAATTATTAGTTGTCACATTTCCTTAGCTTTCAGCCAAGCTTTTGCACTTGTAGTCCTTCTCATAATAATATGGGTTGGTGTAATGACCAGAGGGAAATTAGACAGGCTACTGTTAAGCAACAGCTGTGATTCCGCCATTTTCATAAATTCTAGGCTTAAAAAATGAAAAATAAAACTTTGCAATATTTTAGCTCCCAAAAGCACTGCAAAAGCACCAGTGAAAGTGCACTTTGTTGAGGAAACTCTTGGAGGTATAATTAACTTGTTTTGTTGGGTCTAAGCTTTGAGCCGTTGTGTTGCACCTCCTCTGTCCCCCCGGTGATTGGTATTGGAGCGGAGCCACCAGGCAGCCCTGTGGCCTCTTAGCTTGGCATAGCAATCAATATACACAAACCAACAGATGAAAAAGCAAAAAAAAAAAAAAAACATTAGCATTCCCCACCTGTATTAGGTCTCATTCACATTTGAGGTAAATATTTTAAATAATGTAACCTTATGTTCCTGGAGGGTTAATGTGGCAGGAAAATCATCATGGTTGAAAAGAAATGAAGGGAAAATAGCTCTGCTGTTGAAAACCCGCTGTTTCCAACCTCAGTACACGCGCTCTTTTCCTTGGCTTCATTATGTGTGAGAATACATTTGCACATAGCAGATACCAATATGCTCTGAAGTCCTAAAGTATGCTTGACAACGCGCTAAGGTCTGTCCCAGAAAATGACAACCTGCTCTGTACAGTTCTATACTACAAGATGACAGGCTGTATATTCCAACCAGTGACGACAACGCTGTTGTAAAGCATCTGCAATTTTGAGCCCCGCTTGATTAATGGGTGGCTATACTATTATTTATAGCCCCAGCTACAGTAATTTTCAAAGCGCCATGTTTTATAAATCTGGCCTTGTATATCACTGAGGTACGCATAGAGGTGCCTAGTATTAAAAAATGAGAAACAGCGATGCACTTCACAGATCTGTCTTTGTGGACAAGCTTATCTGTCTGAGCCCTGAAACATGCAGCAAAATGCTCGCAAGGTGCAGGCACAATGTTCCAAGAGGTGTGAAATGACAGGTATGCTGCTGCTGGGCTCCAGCACTCGTCCACATGCAATACTTGCCTTAATGTACGGAAGGTCTCTCAGTGCACAGCACTCAACAGTACCCCCTGCCCTCTTGTCCCCCAAGCGTTATGACTCACATTCAGTCATTTTCCCCTCAGACAACAAAGCATGTTCCAACCTCTCTTGGTTTTTTTCTTTTTTTTGACAGTTGGCTTAAAAAAACAAGATGCTACTTATAATGCTGGTTGTACAAAAGTTTTTTGTAGAAGTTGAAAAAGAAGGGAGGAAAATGCATTGGGGCATTAGAGGAAATGACCATATAATCTGGCAGTCGTTTCTCAGTGTATGACAACCACCAAAGAGAAACAATAAAATATGATGGGTTTAATCTAAAAACTAAACCCCAAAATGTTTAAAATATTATATTATATAGAAAATATTATGTTTGGTTTTTATAATTATCTAATATTTTTCTAAATGTATCAATTTTCAGTCAACTGGTTTATTAGAAACCATATGTACATTTTTACCATCTTTGCAGAGTAACAGGTTTAATGAGCTAAAGCTATCTTGCCAACTAAGTCAGGGTCATGCAAAAATATATCAACTCTAAAAGGGAGATTAAATGTTTATTCATGGTTCTTTAAGAATCATTTGAAGATTCTGATAGTTGTAGGCAGGAAGGATCTCCTGTGGTGCTCTGTCTCACAGTGGGTCTGAAGAAGCCTCTGACTGAAGACATCCTCCTGCTTTGTACAAAGTATTCCTTATCAGTGCTTCTACCTTCCTTTTATATGAATCCCCCAGTGGAGTATAGCAGAAGTCCATTCATACTGAGCCTGGTACTGATAGAGGTTTCTTCCTGTTAAAATAGTTTACCTCTTCAGAGTTGCTACATGTTTGCTCAGTGTTACAAAGTACACAATGCAAGTAACTGTCCACCGTCTCTTTTTTCTAATCCAGTGTAAAATGTCTATGGTGCAATTCAATCTGCTGGATTAGCTAAAACAAAAACTTTTTATCAGTCTACCTGCACAATCTGATTAAGTTAGCTTTGTAAAGTGCCTTCAGATATGTTGTAAATTCTCACTATATAAATAAAGCAAATTGAATTGAAAAGAGTAGAGAGTGATGCTTCATTAACGCTTTGAGTAGCAGATGCAGCTGTTTTACATGAAAAGTCTAAGGTTGACATGAATCAACAGGTCCTGCAGCATGTTCGAGCAGCAGGAGTTTCGCATCTTGACGCATCTGAGCTGCTCCTCAAAAGCTTCTGAGCATCTGAGGCATGTGATGCGCTTCACAAGAAGTAGATGCTGGACTTCTCTAGAATTTTCACTGCTCGACGTGCCACATCAACCAATAAGAGAAGCTGGCAGGCAGACGCACACAGCACTGCTGATGCAGATCACCATGATCCCTCCTCTGAAACAGTTCATTAATGCCTAAATCAACTTAAAATGTTGTAGCCTGCAATGTTAGCTTTTATTATTCTGGTGCCTGCAGTTTGGACCACAAACCTGTAAAACGCTAACATCTACTTCCAACTGCCATGAACAGCAGGGGAAAACCCCCCCGAGGCGATCCAGCCTGAGGCAGCTGCTGCTGGGGATGACCAATGATAGCGCAGCACCAGAATGTGGGGTCTGAGCGGCTCCAACAGCAAAATATTTTAAGGGAGGATCATAATCTTGATTAACTGACTGGACAGACAATGTTTTGAGGAGGACTTTCTCACATAAAAATATATTAAAACTACTTTTTACCCACTGATCATGGCAAATATAGCAAAGCCACTCTCTGCCATTGAAAACAGGAGCAGCAGAAGCATCAGTCGCATCTGGACAAACTTTACTGGACACGCTTCAGGAGCATCAAAGCAGCAGATGAAGCAGCAGAAGCTTTTTTTCTGCCCAAAGCACTTTAGGTGTGAATGTAGCATAATGAAAAGGATGCACCAGGTTGCCTATAACACATTTTATGAAAAAATCTCAGTAAAATCATTTCCAAAGGTTCTAGAGGACTTCTTAGAACAGATCTGATTTTATTTATTGGCTCCTTTTGCTTCTTTACACCCTTATCTTACGGCAGAAGAGATCAATTTCCGTAACAGACTTTTCTAGGATATGGAGCATCTTGCTGAAAAACACTGAAGGACATAAGCTTTCATCAAGAAGAACAGTGTGCTCTTTCTTTTTGTGTAAAGGGCTTTATACCTGCATGTCTTGTCCAGCGAACCCCGCTGGATTTCTTCTCCTCCACCAACTCCACTTCTCCCATAACGGTAATAAGTGTTTGACTACAGATTCTCATTTGTTTAACTCACAAACTCCCCATACATTCAAACCATTTTAGAAGATTTATTGTGCATAATCGAGGCCTCCTCTGTTTAAAGGAGAAAGTGATGTTATTTCTAGAGGCCAAATAGAAGCACTTTATCGACAAAGCTGTGTTTTTGAGATGCTTCACAAGGCAAAGAAAAAAACCTGTTAATTCTCTGCCACCAAGCGTCATCTGTTTATTTTCCTCCCACGTCTCTTCACGGCTGCTTATTAACTACTACCAATAAAAACCCATCAAAAAAAAGATAATAGTCTCATTAATACCAGCAAGTTGATTACACATGTTGCCCATTTGTCAACTCCGTAAAACTGTGACTTTTTAATGCAGGATGTTAAAAAACAAAAACAAATGTAAACCAGCCAATGGCAAACTCATCCTCCTCTCCTCTGCTTCTCTCTAACACATACAAGTGTGCAAAAATAAAAGGTGATTTTGAAGTGAGTGCTGTAAAAACGGTGTCACAAGCAATTTGTCCTTGGTCGCCCAATACTAGTGAACCAGTCCAGAGGCTTTCAGATACAAACCAGCCTCAGGACTTGTGAAGTGAACATTAATCGCTTTTGACAATTTGCCTGCACCAGTTGTAAATCTTTGTCACAAATGCTTAGATTCAGCACCAAAACCCGTATGGCTCAGTGCTATCTGTTTAAACCTAAGCTAAAAGTAGAAGAACACTGTCATTTTATGGTAGTTCTTGAGCACGAGCTAATTAATAGTAAAATAACGTGCCTGATACACCTTGTAAAGTAATTACCCTCTGTACTCTGAATGAAAACCACAACCACTCAGTCAAGCATTTACGTGTCTTGTGATGTTCAATGCCGCAATGTACGAGGAGGGAAACCCAGCCTGAAGAACACTAATTTAACTTGCATTATCTTCCCTCTGCAACAATAATCGAGCCGCTATTATAACCTCTGTTTTGAAATACCGAGAGCGAAAATATGGAAGAGGGCCACAAATCATGTGGAAATTCCACTTCATTATTAGAAGAAAAATCACCTCTTCCATTAATGTTCATCCATGCTGCTAATGCAGTGATGCCGAAAGGAGGGGAAATGTGATTAAGTAAACATGGCAAATCGTTGCTCTTTTACTCAAGTTGCAACAGGGAAAAAAAAAAAAGAGGACGCAGATGCACATGGGTGCTCAGATGAAAATGTGATAGGAAAAACTAAGTATGATGAATGAAAGGAATCAGCTATTAAATGTGGAAATCAAGGATGGCCAGACAGTACATACTGATCTAAATATCGTAATGACATTACACAAATTTATAGTTGGTGTACACAACAGGAAAAAAATAATGCTTTAAATGTGACATATTTGAAATTCAAAAACATTCACCATGCATTTTAAAAGGCAAGGGGAGGTAAACCTCTGCTTTTAGGTTAATGTTCTCACATCACCATTAAATGTGATTGGATTAGTAGTGGAGCACGTACATGCATGGACACCAGCAGAGCGTTTAGTTCAAACACATAGTGTTGCACTGCAGTAGCAATGTTTTTTACAACATGATGACTGTGTATTCATTAGTATACAGTCCTAGCAAGGTTCCAGATTACATCCATGTAACAATATTACAATAATAAAGTTGGTGGAAAGAATGTAATCTATGGTTTGGATAACTAATGTAGAGTCATTCTTATAATGAGGCTGTGATGATAAATCAGATCTTGTACATGATACTGAATTTAGACAAAACATTGCAAGATTTTCAGAACATTTCTTGTAAACTGACTGCCACATTTATGTATTGAGAAAAGGGCTATGTTTTTGAAAAATGACAAACTGTATAACCAGTATATTAGCCAGTCCAGGCTTGGCCTATCTCTAAACTGCAATTTTTTTGCTTGTCTAATCTTATGGTGGTTCCAAAGCTAAATAATAATATCTCCAGTTTGTGTTTTATCTATAGAAGAGTATTCCAAAAATAACTCAAAATATTATTTAGCATTTTTTTTGTTCAGTGTAGCTAAAATAGCTATATTCTATTCAGTTAAAGTATGTAATATGGTGATATAATGATATAATGATAATGGTAAAATCCATCATAAGACGGTCTTAAAAGTCAAGAGACTTATACATTTCAGAGCATGGGCTCCATGCACAACTAGACTACTTCCTGAATTTAGGGCAGCTCTTCTGTTTTCTGTCTTTTTCAACTGGATAAACTGATTAATCCAGGTGTGCCTGACCTCAGTACCCATGGCCAGACACACCTGGATTAATCAGTTCATCGTGCATAGAGACCCTTGCACAAATTCTTAAGGCACAACTTCTTGTTCCACCCTAAATGGCAAAAACATACAAATTAGGCAACACAAATCTTTAGATCAGAGGATCTATTTTTAATTTAAGATAACATATAATTAACATTTAGATATGCCATTTTTTGTATATATATATATATATATATATATATATATATATATATATATATATATATATATATACATACACTTAGTTAGAGTTTGGGCACCAGTATAACTATGCAAACTTTTTACAAAGCAGGTTCCTTCATCAAAAGTTGGCATATCTTTATTGCATCTTTAAAATAATTTTGCTTTTGTTTCTATTTATTTATTTATTTATTTATTGATAATAGAAAATCAAGGGGTCTGGAAATATCTAAAGTTGTTAAAAACACAAAGTGCAAATGTGGAAAGTTTAATATTGCCCCTAACATTTGTAAACAGTTTAAACTTGCACCATGCAAGCTCTTTGTGGCATACCTGTAGAGGTGCTTATAAGAGCAGACAGACCCTAATTAACCAACTAATATCAACTTGTCAAACTTGGGCTACTTTATAAAGAGAAAAGTGTACAAAAGACATAATGTTACCACAACCTCCTAAAATACATAACAAAAGTGTTAGATATAAGGTCAAAATAATTCTAATGATCAGTTCTATATTGCTTCAGGCAGCAATAGGAGTAACTGATTCTTTTTTTTTTATTAAATTAATTACACCATGTTTTTCTGCATGAATCCAATAAAACTGTAGTAATTGTACCTAGGCTATCATTCCGTGATAGCCTTAGGTAATCAGAGTGTGAGCCATTCTTAATTCACATGTCAAATACGCTGTAAATCTCTGCAATATGTTAGTATGTCTGTACATGTTCTGGAAAAGCTGCAGGAGATATAAAAGTTCAATCCAACATCCTAATCCCTTAATCCTAAACACTTGATAGCATGCAATGACGCTTCAAAAAGTGTTTGAAGAAAAGGGGGGAAAAATGAGAGGGGATAAGAATGCAGTATTACCAGAGGTTTGTTTCAGTGTACCATTCTTTTTCTAGGAAATTCTCTCTAAAAATGTGAGGTTGGTTTAAAGGAGAGTGACTGACATTTTCAATTATAGTAGATCATCTATTCATGTTCAGATTTCACTAAGCAAGCCTGAAACCTGCAGTGAGAGAGACTGTGTACACCTGCAGATATTTGGCATGAAATAAAGGAAAATAAATTCAAACAGGGGGCCATCTTTTAGACATAGCTTTTATGTTAGATGTATAACAGAGAGCGCTTCTCGTTCTGTTTAAAATGCCTTCTCTTCACAGGGCTACAAGGGGAGAAAAACTAATGCGTGAAAGGGTAGAAATACTGCATTATTCTCCCCCGTGGTTAAAATTGGTGTGAAAAACAATTTCAACCGACACACGACGACGGAAACAAAGGATGCATTTTTCCATTCTCACATTTTGTTCTTTCTTTTTTGATATTTTGTCACCATGTCTTCCAAACTGCCAGAAGTGAGGATGATACCAAGAAGGGAAGAAGAGGAAAGAGAAACAGCAAAGTTAAGATACACAAATAACATTGCAAAAGGACAAAATGAGCACCAAAGTGAAACATTTTACACTTATGCAAACATGAAAATAACCATCTATTGCTCTGTAAACAGGGATGCTGTTTGTAATGTCTTTCTTTTAGAGGTTTGCATTATTGCAGTCGGTGTTTACTTCCCATAGTTCAGAGCGTGCATAACCCTCAACCTCACAGGAAAGAGGCAGGCAATAATCAAACAATGGGGGAAAAAAAGCAAAGAGACAAAAGATCAGAGGCAGGAGGCTGAATTAAACCTTTTGAGGAGTAGTTTTGGAGCAGACAAAGCGTATGACTCAGAGAACAAAAGAGGTTAGACAAGTATGTAGAGATGATTGACAGCCTGCTAAGAAAAGCAGCAGGTTTTGTAGTTTGTTAGCCCTTAGCTACACTGCAGTGTGTGTACTGAAGCAAAGGGAACAGAGCCTTACACAGCAGTGAGTTGGACTCACAGCATGAAAGACAGTTGAGATTATTAACATTAATAATGGCTTGTTTCTCTTTTCTGTCCTTGTAAACTGTTAAAAGTAAAGCTCTATGTTTAAATCAGTGTTGCCAACCATCCCTTAAAACTGAATTATCCCATATTTGAATTTGAAGGGCACTTATGTAATTAAATCTCATATTTACAAGCTGTTTTTTTCGTTTATCATCATCACAAAAAGGTGAAACTCATTATTATTTATTAAGAAAAATATGTTGTATCTGACAAGCAAGGTCCAGTATGAAAAAACAAAGACAAGAAAATACTGTATATTCAGGAAATAAAGGCTGCTCTGTGTACCGGGAATTTGTAGTCACCTACAGAGGAATTATTGATTTTAAAGGACATGTAGCAAGAGAAAAGAGGAAGCAGGGTGAAATTATACTTCAAGCAAGACATCTCGAGCTATAAAAAAATTACTCTTAATAATCTGACAATTATATTTTTTTCTTTTGTGTAATTACAAAACATGAACAAAAAATTGTATTAATTACACATTGAGAACTGAACTACCTATAACCTATGAAACGTTTATAGGTTACAGGTAATTCTCTCTTTTTTTTGTTAAACTGTGACTGCAAAAAATATATAAACAAAGAATAACGGTTCATTTTTATCTCCAGCATTTCTTAACAATTTAAGAGTAGAAGCAGAAAACAAGGGCAGGGTTTTTCTTTAACAAAACATGTTCTTTGCTATAATTAAATTTACCACACATCATTAAAACTGCTTGCAGCTAAAATTATTTTTCAACGCTGCTTTTGTGTTTTATTTCACTCTAAAATAAGCAGGGTAAAAAATAAGGGTAAAAGTCGTTAAGAAAAACCGTTTCAGGGAATCATTTAAATGGATTACCTGAAACATTTATAAATTACATCTTTAAGGCCTCAGACTATTAAAATGAGAAATTTAATTGGATTTTGGTAGAATTTTCATAAGTAGAACTAAAGCAAATATAAATAAAAAAAGATAAAAGTTTTCAGCTTGGTAGAACTTTTTTTTTATAATTATAAAGTAAAACCAAAAATGTAATTAACTTTTTTGTCAAATCAAATAGTTTTATTTGAAAGGACCTAAACTAAACTTGAAATAAAGAAGGTTCTAGCATTTTAAAAGTGTTATAAAGTTGTAGATTGGCTAAACGAGGATCAGCTACTATCTGAAACCAGTTTACTGTTCTTATACGAGCATTTACCTTTAGAAATGGAATATATTATAGAGGAGTAATCCCACTGCCCTGGCCCCTCCAAGTATAAACAAGATAGGGGATTTAGTTTGTGCTCCTTAATCTAATTTCTGAAGGTTGAAAACATGCATAAACGTAGGACCTCATCCAATTGGAACAGTGCCAGCATTAACGTGTGCATTTCTTTCCATTAACATGTTATGAGGACATGGAAAATGTTTACAGTAATTTCCATAGAACAGCTTTGAGCTGGGATATACCTGTTGATTAAGTCCTCATTGTCATCGCTCTCCATCTCATCCTCGATGGCTGCCTGCAGGTCCCCGATCCTTTTAAAGGCCAGCTTGAGGTCCACTTGTAAGCTCTGATTTGCTGCTTCTAAGCTCTCAATGTCCATTTCCTGGCAAATGAACAGCACAACAAAACAGGTGTCATTATTCTTGAGGATAATTTAAATACAACAAGGCTAACAAGGAACCAAAAGCCTTACCAGCTCATGCTTCTTCCGGCTTGCCTCTCCCTCCTTCTTGGACAGCTCAGCCATTTCCTCTTTCATGTCTCTCATCTGCCTTTGCATGCGCTTATTCTGCTCCTTCTCCCTGGTTTCAGCTGTAATGCGTTGGTTTTTTTCCTCAGTCACCTTTTCTAGGTTCTCCTTCAGACGGCCCACTAAACTCTGTTGAACAAGTTTCAAGTTTAGAAGCATAAAAAAAAAAAAAAAAAAAATGGCAACCACATTATACCTCATCTAAAGTTTATTTTACTTAATCTAATCTTTAAATACATTGTTTTTTGGCATTAATTGAAAAAATAACAATTCAGACAAGCTATCATAAACACTAATATCTTAATTAAAAATCCCATTTTGGAGAAGAGGAACGCAATTACCATCTCAGAATAAGCTGGGGTCTACATGCTCTGCTCTGTTCTAAACTCCAATTTCTGTAATACAGTGAATGTTTCAGAGTAAAGATAATAAAAAAAAGTAAGGTGACCTCGCATGACAGAAGCTCAGACCCAAATCCCCAAAATAAAACTACTCACTCGACACCACTTATCACTTTTCTATAAAAAGCAAACGCTTGTTTCACTAAAATTTTTCCAAGACCTAAAAATGCTCAAAAACAAATTCAACAAACAATTTTTTATGAAATGAACAAAGCAGATTTTAAAAAGAGAAGATTTTTGGATCACGTAAAGGTGAGAAAAATACTTTGCAATAACTAAAAGGGAGGCTTATATTTGCCTAGATTATGTGGTTAATTTTCTACTTGTTAGTTAAACATTCCATCTATAAAAAAAAATAAAATCATCATAATGCACAAAAATTATTCCCAAGGCTGAAAATAACCTGCAAGATTTTTGTTTGTAAAAATATTTATATAAATATAGATAAATTGTCATGCCTTAAGCTAAGTTCCTTACACTTGATTAACTTTAAATCCCAATTCAAATCATAGTAAAATAAAACCACAACCAGTAACTAAGGACCGTTGTGATGCATTGTTGAAATTTAGAGTAAGTATTAGTAAGTATTATCACGGCGCATGTTTTTAGGACTTTTAAGGCATGATAGCAGTAGTTCATGTTCTTCCTTGTACAAACCATGATTTTAAAAAAGTTATTGTACCATAAAATACACATAATTTAACTATGGTCATTTCAAAGAGCATTTCTATAGCATTTTTATGAGATAACTAGCATTATCTCACCTCCAAACGCTTGATTTGAGTCTTCTCATATTCTAGCTTAGTCTCCAGCTCACGGATCTTTGCCTCCTGGCGACTCACGAGTGACTTCTCCACCATGGACTGTTCTTGGAACTCTAGCTGGCTCTGAAGTGAATGGAGCTGGAAGGACACCACACAAAGAGATGATCACACAAAGTCGGTTACCGGCGAGAAAGCCACAGCTTACTTCCTTCTTATTTGTCGCTTTTCTGCTATGTCTCTTTTGTGGGCTGTATAAACATTAAGAGCAAGTCTTGATCTTTAAATCTTCAAAACAGATTGCTGTTTACTTTTTTCACCCAATTTGAGTTAATTTATTCTGTCTTGGTAAATATAAATAAGGTGCATCGAGTCTGAATAATGAGTTTGAGATAAGCCTCCACTCTGCTTAAAATGGTCAAAAACAGAAGCTTGTGGTTCAGGCTGGGTAACAGTGAGTCACGGTAATTTCACAGGCTTTGAAAAAGGCTTCAGCTTCATGCAAAGCACGTTTGTTCTATCTAAATCCTTTTTTCTTCCATGACTGATAAAAGGAAGATAGACACGTCACAACAAAACTGGCCCGAAAGGCAGCAGGGCACCTAATGAGGGACTTCTGCATCTGAGACAAGGAGGATTTGGTGCTCTCCTTTGATATTTCTAAAAAAGCCAGATTTCCCTCCTACTGGGAATGAGATAACCACTTCAAGGTCAGATGCTTTAGATAACAATCAGTGCCTACTCTGGCACATTTTAACAGTGGCTTGCAGCCCGCTGCGCATCTTAAGTGTAGCCAGAAATATTCTGAAGGGTGGCCCTTGAGTGGCTTCGGCTCTCGTAAATTTTAATAAAGCAGGAATATGCTGTCGTGTTTGGGAGTGGCATGAGCAACACGCTGCTTTGCAGCAGATGGTTTTATTTGTTTAATCCACTGCAGATCCATCCACTCATCAGCTACACCAGTATTATCCTGTACTGAGTAGCAGGGACATTGGGTTCTATCCCAACTGGAACTGAACGGGAGGAAGGGATGCCAGTCTATCAGAGAAAGGATAACACCGACAGAGAGATAACCATGCACCATTACTACAATCTAGAATTATCAGTCAAGATGTGGATGTGCTTTCAACAGTGGAAATAAACAGCTAAAATGGAATAAGAGGACTACAGAATGAAAGGCCAAAACAGACCAGCAGGTTTGAGTGCAAAATGTTTCTGCTGTGACTCAGAACCTTCAATCTATGATGACAAAGACATGTGGTAACTTGTGATTATGATTTATCTCATGCAGATGTTTAGGTATGGGGAGGATCGAGCTACCTATTCCCTGCATGCTGCTGCACACTGCCAATCAGCTGCAATGCTTTCCTTTGCTAATATCCAGGGATATACAGTAAATAAACAAATAAGAGAATCTTTACTGAACTAATGGTAAAAAATAAATACTTTTGGCAACCGATGAGCCGCATGCACGTCCACCAGCCAAACCACATTACTACATTAAGAGCGGAGTTTCAGATTATCATAATGTAGTAATATTAGCTCATTAGTTATTGTTTTAACAAATACTAATAGCAGAACTTTGTAGTTTTATATAATAATTGTTATTAGTACTATACATTGCTTTATCAATCAGAAAGATAAACATAAATAAGATTCAGTTTGAATTTGCAAATTAAAGCAGATGTGCAGACGCATGAGATAATTTGGGGAATTTGTATCAGATGCTGGCTATTTGGATGAGGGCAGAGCATCATCTAATGAGGCTTGAGGAATCTCAATTAGTTTAATGATCAATACTGGGTAAAAGAAATAACAAACAAAAAAAATCTCCAAAACTCACTATTCTCTGTAATGAAATAAATAAGTTGGAAATCTGAACAGGTCATTCTTTTATAATTCACAGCATGTTATTTAATTTAAATGCTCTCAAAACACATATGAAATAAAAAATATATTTATTTAAAAAAAAACCCAAAACAGTTTCTTTTTTTTCAATATTTCTCAATCTTCTTTTGCTGTCACTTGGGATCTCTGGGTCTATCATCTCCTTTCCTTTCTGCTTTGTCCACCATCACAATAACTGGTTGGTTAGGCATTCATTGTCTCCATTTGGAGGTCCCCACAGGATCCTGGCCTCCTAATGTTCAACCACTTTTAGCTGAGTTTCCCACTTTTACCGTGGAACTCTGAGCTATTCTCTGCCTAGATGTACCCATAGACAATTCTAATTGTTATTTATAGTGTTCCATACACCCTTTGCTTGCCAGCATCTTAACCAAAAATGTTATGTCAAGAATTCTACACACATATCGAATTTCCCATCTTAACAGTCCATCCTAGACCGTTTTAGAAGCATCTCTGGACAGTTTCTGTCTGAAGTGGTGGACCTCAGCCTCTATTGCATTACTTGATGCACATCATCTAGAGCAGTGGCTCCCAACCTGTTTTTGACTAAATCTAAATACAACATAAAATCATACTATAAATCTGCCTTTATAAAACTGGAGCTTTAAACTTGATAAATTTGGAACAAAATACTGAACAAAATTATATTTTGACTGAGTCCATTTGTTTTACTTTTTTTTCATTATTCATGACACCTTTGATGAGCTCAGATGTGGGAAAACAGCCGATACCAGGCTGTTCTCTACATCCAGTCTGTTCCTCTACTTGTTACTGATTTCTGTCGAAGCTTAAGGTGAATTCAGACATATAAGAAAAGCTTAAATTTTGGTTGAAAAAAAGCTTATTTTTTGTTTTTCATGTGGTTTCTCACAAAGTAAAACAGATCGCAGCCCGATATTATTACCTGAGAAATAAAATATGTTCATTTAACCCTTGCAATGCACTCGCAGACCACTAAGGTTATGAGTACCCTGGTTGGGAATGACTGATCGAGAGGCTCATCTTGCACAACAGAGTTGCATGGCTTCAAACCCTCTAACCATCAGGAATAAAATAGGTTACAAAGAAATGTAACATTGTCATGATTGGGAAATCAGAGCATTTTGATGGCTGCTGAAACAGGCCAGTTGCAAATGTCTTTCATTATCTTAACATTCTCCACACACTTCACCGTATAGCATGTATAATGTATTTCATAGATTTTTATGTGATGGTTTTGAAACTATTACACTGATAAAAATGTTAAATAACTGCTTAATTAAATCTAGTTAAATAAGGTCCACCTTTTGGTAATTTAATCTCAGTCTAAATACAGCTTTACTTTGAAGGCTACGGTTTGTATTTTGATTTACAGTTAGCTTATTTGTGTATACTGTAAGATACCGTACATAAAATGAAAAACTTGACTACATGATTGAAATATGTGTTGATATAAACATTCCTCGTCTCTTTATATATATATGCTAATCTGTAAAGTAAAAAACTACTGCCTCCATAAATGTCATCTTTTTCATTATAAAGGCTGCTTTGACAGGAGTAAAAATTACATCTGCAGGCTGTTCAATGGCATATTAGGACGTCGGTGGCATTGCAGTTAAAATACATTCAGCTTCAGCAGCCCAGAAGAAATTAATTTTGCAACATCGATCCATCAACTAAGGAAATTCCATTGCCTTAATATATGTCATACCTAACACCAAAAAGGTTATCCTCTGAGCAAATGGTACTCCATTAGGAAAACATGATAAAAGCTCTATTATAAAAGCATGCCTGAATCAGATGCGTTAACCTTTTTACCATATCACTCCAAACTTATTCAAAGCCTCACTCATTATGTGACATCTCACAGGATACAATAATTTAACCAATCAGCCAAAATATGAAATAAACCTGTTAAAACCTCTGTAGTCCCACATGTGTGGGGGTAGCATGATTCATATAAAAAGGAATTTTGTTGGCGAGCTATACGATGGCCATTCAGCATGTTGCAGGAGAACAAGAAAAGAAGGTCAGCAGCAAATTAAAGCTTTGACCTATATCAGGGATGCTAACATGCTTCTAGTGACAAGGATATCACGCTGATGTGCAGCCAGTAAACTGTGACCCATGCATTTTTGAATCATTACTGCAAAGCCAGCCATCTGTTGGCTCTTAAAATATTCCAGTGAATAAATGAAAGTGTTGACCTTCCTAATGAGGCAGGAGAGGAAAAAGTCATAGGATGTCACACTTCAGCTCTCTGACTGGCATTAGGCATTTAGTTTACAGAAAGAGGTTTATGATAAAGATTGGTTTTAAAATCTAATACAGATCAAGTCATGAATCATTCAAGAAATGGATTTAAATCTAAGCAAGGATTCAACTATAAAGAGGTTATAATTTAACACAGTTCTTGCAAGATATATTGCACTTCTAAACATCAATTTAACCAGTTTGCAAGTATTCACATAATTAACCATAAAAGCAATAATGAGGTAATTTTAACCCTATGTCAGAAAATCTTTATGGGAGTTTAGATGGTTGAATTTATTAAATAAAATCAAATATAATTTTAATTTCTTAACATAATGCTTAGGTTCTAACATTTGAAAACCAATTTAAGCTGAATAACATTTTCTTGGTATTTTTGGAAAATTTGTAGAACCAAATAATTCATTCATCCTTCCATCCATTTTCTGTCACGCTTATTCTAGCAGGGTTGCGAGGGGTGCTGGTGCCTAAATCCAGCTGTCAATGGGTGAGAGGCAGTTACACCCTGACCAGGTTGCCAGTCTATTGCAGGGCAACAGTCAGACAAACAAGACAACAACCAATTACGCACACACTCACACCTAAGGAGAATTAAGAGAAGCCAATTAACCTAACTGTCACTGTCATGATTTTTGGACTGTGGGAGGAAGCCAGAGTACCCAGAGAGAATCCACGCATGCTCAAGGAGAACATGCAAACTCCATGCTTAAGGATTCCGGGCCGGGAATCGAACCAGAACCTTCTTGCTGCAAGGAAGCAGTGCTACCGACTGCAACACTGTGCAGCAGAACCAAGTATCATCAATAAAAATAATTCTTTGCCCAGGGATTCTCAATCCTGGTCCTCAAGTACCACCACCCTGCATGTTTTAGATGACTCTCTGTTATAGCACACCTGATTCAAATGATTACATAGGCACCTCAGCAGCTATCAAGTGCTGTAGATGGTTGATTAATCTAAGTCAGGTGTGTGGCAGCAAGGAG